GCTGCTGCCCAGCTAGCTGATTACAAAGGGGAAATGAAAAATTGTTTCAAAAGTTATAAAATGCACAAAATGATTTTTTTAATCATCGTAGTCAATAGATAGTTTTGATGCACAAATTCCACATATTTAACTTAGAAATGCTTTTGAATACCCTCCTGAAAACATTTTTTTTCCGCAAGAACAAAAAGTAAAAAATATGAGATACTTCAGCTACAAATGGAAGCAGAATCCATAGTATCTGGGTGATACTAAATGAATCTGAATATTTAAGAATTTTATCTGTAACAATTACAAACTAAAACTAACTTGAAAAAATAAAAAAATATATAATTATAATAAAAATGCCAGATTGACAGTGCTAAATTATCATATAAATCATCATATTTAAGCTTGGGGCTCAAGCTTCCTCACTCCACACTAGTGAATGCCTCAATTGCATGCTATACAGAAAAACTCTGTATTTATATAATAGGTATTTTGCTACATTTAGGGAATCTGATCTTTTCCCATAAACTATTAGATGTGTCAATGATTTTGTGATACAAATATACATTAAGAAAATCATAACAAGAATAATGGTACCAAGATAAGGATACTAGTAATCATTGTCCATGGCAGCTCATTATAGAGACATTAGAATAAGAATAAACATTGAACATTGTAAATGATAACGAAAATACCAAGAAAGAAGAAAGATTTCAATTCCAAACCAAAATTTGAAGAGGCAGCAATTATGACAAAAAATTGCAATTTTGTCTTTTTTTTTTTTTTAAAAAAAACTTTTAAAAACCAGCAGCCTTTCTGAATTCAAGCATTTCAGTGAAATACAGATAACCCAGGTATTCCCACCATTGTGATATTACATGAAACTCCAAAAAAATATGAGGGAATGCAAACTCCATTAATTTAAACAGAAATAGCAACTCTCCGAGCAATAAAAGGATTTTTTTTTCTTCAAAACACATGAACTAAAGTCAGAGTGCCCCTTTGAACAGGCAATCCTTAGCAACCAGGCAGAATAAACTTGTGTTTAATAGTTTTAAAACTTGATGCAGGCTAATAACTCACTGATTACTACACCTACAGAATAAATAAGTTTTATATATTTGTTTAACAAACATTATATAAAAACTCATACTAAGTCAGAAGGGCTTTTCTTGAGTATAAATGTGTGCTACAAAACCCTTGGGCACTTAAGTTGCTTGTTCCGTATTTCACTCTGCAAAATGGAGATCTAAAACATATTAATTGAAAATTAGTAGTAGCAATTTCCTCCATCTAAGCAGATAAGGCCCAATCAGAAACTTAGTTTGAAAGCTAACATGGCACCTACAAAAATATTTTACAAATATAAAATTCAGGAAATAAGAAGTGATAATAGAAGAAATCTTATTTTTAAGCTGAGAGTACATTAGTGAAATGTACAACCTTTTTTCACTCCCTTTACAATGCAGAAAAGGAATTTTTGTCAAAGAAACATCAAGTTCAGATGCAACTTCTTTGTTAGAAGCTATTTCAGATATGTATATATTCAAGTTTCATAATACATTTATAATATACCAGTGTTTTATTTGCCTTTATCTCTTGACTACTTACTTTATCCTATTACATAAAAGCTTCACAGCAATTAGGGTACTGATCGTAAAAAAATTGTTAGCCTTCAGGTACAATAACTGTAGCTATAACAACAGGTTAAAATCATATGCAGACAATTCATTCTTCTGCTTGGCGGTGCTCCTTTAATTTAAGATATTTCTGGAAAGAAGGAAATTACTTTTGGCCAAACTAGTTTTTCATGTTCTACTTAAAAGATCTAAATAAATAAATAAATTTCCATGAGTCAAAGAGAAAACAATTCACAATGGAACAAACAGATCTGCACAAGAAAAGGTTATGCCCCTTTTTTTTTTTTTCGACTGCACACAATCGGCAACAAAAATTAGGTAAGAGAATAAATTATCTTCCGAGACCAACACTAAATGACTCTACGCACACAAAGCCACACACACCTGTTGCCATGTGGCTTTTTGCAAAAGCCACACTGTTTGCTGGGCACCCAAACACATTTGCTTTCACTAGCAGGTGCCTGCTCCACACCTTCCCGTTTTACAGTTGAAATGTTATCTGGGATGAACAGAGGGGGTTCATCAAGTGAGAGGCTTTTGCTACTTCTTCTCTGGCGTGGTTGAAGATTCTTATCAATTCTTTTTGATTTGTTTTTTTCTTTGTCATCCTCCTTCAAATGTTCTAGAGCAGAGGCATCTTTTATCTCTGCCTCCTCCTTTGTGGAGCTACTTGTTTTTGGCAGAGTTGAGAGTTGATGTTTCTGGGCTTGCCTCTGGTGGGTATCTTTAGAACAGCTTTGATGAGTAAGAGATTTCTCACGTGGCTTTTGAACTGATGATTTTTGTACTTGCCCAGAAGCCTGGACACGGGGTATTTTCTTCAGCACTGTGTTGGTCTGCTTTTTCACTGTGACACCTGAAACACAGCTCTTTGTTTTCAAACCCAAGTCAGATTGTTTTTTCCTAATTTTGACGGGGTTATTTAGATGGTGAGCTTGCTCATCTGCATTACGCTTCACACCTGCTGAAGAAGAACCGTGTAGACCTGAAAGAGCAGAACCAGCTCTTGTTTTTGAATGTGTTATTTCTTGTTGCACTGCAACTGATTTCTGTCGAGTACCTGCAGTCAGATTTTGCTTATTCTGTATTACAGATTTATTGTGTCGAGGCTTCACATTTTTTTCACATTTTGGTGAAATAGTAAGTGGTTTATCATCATCCTGAAGTTTTGAGGCCTCAGGGCCTTCTACTTTAGCAGTACTGATCTGCTGTGGTACATTTTGGCTTGTACTGTCAAGAGCAGTGCTATCTAAAATGCTATTTTCTGGGTCAGCAGAAGTAGAATCTTCACTTTTCAATTCTTTATTATCACATTCTGTACCACCCAATAGTTCCGCAGAGAGAGTTACAGTTTTATCCGTCCTTTTGACATCATCTACAGGCTCTGTTACACATTCTTTTAGGGATAATACATTTTCACCAGGAACTTCATCCTGGGAATCTAATCTACATTCAACTCCCTCTTTCACAGAGCTGGACAAGTCTGAAATGGTCTGATAAACTTCACTTGGAATCACATAACCACTTGTAACAGGTGGGTCATCAGCTTTTCTTAGATCATTTTCTTCTGCTTTCTTTTCCAATTCCTCTGTTTTATTTGCAGTCTTTTCTATTGAAGAAGTTTCAGAAGCCATTGAGTCATCAACCCTACCATCTGCTTCATTTTTAACTGCTGTAATTTCAGTATCTGCAGATGTTGAACAAATGGACTCAGTATTCCCCAAATCAGCCTTCGTAGCAACCTCAGTTATTTCCTTTGTTTCTCCATGAGAAGGAGGACAAGCTTCTGCTAGATTAGGACAACTTAACTCATGGGAGATTTCCTCAGCTTTTTCCTGCTCAGGGGTTTCTGATTTTACATCATTGGCCTCTTCAGGACCAGGAGGACATTTTGCATTACTTTGGGAAGCTGTTACTGCTGTTATTGCTTCTGCCTGTCTAGAGAGTCTTGTACTACGCCTAACTTCTTTAGGCTGTTCCACCTTCAGGGGTGTAGCAACATCTGTTTCTTTAGCTGGACTTTTCTCTTGTTTCTGTCCTGTTTTCAGAGCAGACCCACACTTCACAGATGACTTCTTGGTACTAACAGGAGGTGCAACATTTGAACGCTTTGCTAGGGTGCTCTGCCGCAAACTCCGTACTGGTTCTATTTAAAAGAAGAACAAAATCTTAGTTATACTGTGTCTTTTCTTGGCAAACACGAGACTAATCTAGCATAAAAGTAATGTAGCTTGGATTAGTTCAGTGACCGCAATAAGAATTTAGCCCATAAGTGTTTAGTAAGTGTTTTAAAAAACAAACAAACAAACCACCCCACACTGCTTATTTCGAAAAGTTAAAAATAGCTGGCATTTCAGTTTTAGAATGCCACCGTTTGGAAGTAAAATTTCCATATTCTAATGGTTATGAAAGTTCTGGATAGCTTTTTAAAAAACAGAAATAGCTCTGCTGTTAAAAAAAATCAAAATCCACTTTACTTAATTGTTTTCTTTTCTACCTTAGGTAAAAACTTCAATATATTGTCATTAAAAACACAGCCTTTAAATTTACAAAGCTTTTGGAGATCACAGAGTATGAACCTGAGATTCAATCAACTTCTCAGTGGATGACACTCCTACATTTCTGTTCCAACAATGGATTTCAGCATCAGCCTAGACTTGTTTAAGAAGTATACTCTACAGCTTTGTAACATGGAATTTTACTTAAACTCTGACTCCTGTAGTAAATATTTTTGTTTTTAACTTAACCTACTCTATGATATAAAGTAGATCTGTAACTGCACCAATTCAACAGGCGAAAAAAAAAAACATGTAGAATTAGCTATCATGCAGAATTAAAGTACTTGACTAAAGTATATGCTAAGCATGTTCAGATACACGGATAAAAGACTTAAATTAGAAATTAATATAACCTAGCTAAAACCAAATAGAAAATAGACTAATCAGAATAGAATTAGATTTTAAATTGAAAATAAAGAGCCATTCCAATATCTAATCTGATGCCCAATATATAATCTAATATCCAATCTAATACTCCAAGGCTGTTGGAAAATACAAAATGGGCCTATGAGATATTATCGGGTTTTTTTCCCCACTTACAATAAATCTATGTTGGCAAAAAATACCAGTACTAATCTGAAGCAGGTAAAAAGCTCAAACTGTCAAAACCAATTTTGAGGTCCTCAGACCGTAAGGAAAACATCGAGTATTTATTACAAAGAAAATCTAACTGGATAGCAGCCTATGGACGCTAAATTCTAGCTATGGTTACAGCTATAAGGAGCAGCTGTGTTATAATTCACAGTTATATAGTTATATTGTTATATAGTAAAGCTTAAGGTTTTATAAGTGTTAGGAACAGCTTATAAAAACTCAACTGACATCAAGCAAATGCAAAAGCATCTATTGAAAGATCACCTTGCGCCATTAAGCGTGGAGATTTTCTTGGTGATGTGACTGATGTCTCTTCCGACCGGCTCCTCAAACTCCTGGTAGGTAAAATCAGCTCATCTTCATCGATGGTGTCGTTACCACTCTCTTTAACTCCTTCTTCATCCATAATATCATCAAGACTAATAGCTGGAAAAAAACAAAAACAAAAAAAATGCCTAAAACTTAAAATGATCAAAAACATTACAACTGTAAGGTTTAGCAATGCAGGAGAAAAGACTGGGGATAAATATAAAACAGGACCATCTAAAAACAAACAAAAGAGAAAAAATGAAGAAAGGCAAGCAGAAAATTCCCATGTAAGGCAGCTAGAGCGTGGAAGAAGCTACCACCCAAAGTTTGAAATTTCTGTAGGCAGTCCTCAGAGTTTCAGTGGACTACTATTTTTTTTTTCCCTCTCTCTTCTTTGGCATGACAGGAAGGTCCCCAGTCTTAGAGGATCTGCCATCCCTCACCGTCCCTTTCCACCTAAGAAAATGTGAAGAAAGGTGAACAGCAGAAGGACCTGATCCAAGTACAAGGAATTTAAACGGCAGTTTCCTTGCAGGGCACCCACCCACATCACACATCTGCAAACCCCCTTTTCAGAAGGGCAGCGAGTGCAGCATGCGCTGGTCTCCCACGCAGCACCTGAACACATCGTCTTTGCCAAACTCCTAAACCTCCACTAACCTGAGAAGGGTCCCAGAGGTTGCTCCTCAAAATAGGGTTCCTAAGAGGCAGTCAGGCCGCTGTACCAGCCATTCTCCTCACTTTCTCTAAGCTTGGTTCTGCAATGGCAGCCTCTCCTATCCCAAGATCCTACGTGTGATTAATGAGACTCGATCCCTGTAGGATGCGAAATCTGTGAGATCAAGCCAAATACCCAAGTGATTTTGTAAAACACATAGGAGAGTTTGACAAACGCAGCACAGACTCCAAACAACCAAAGCCGTTTTTTCATTATTCAAGCACCTACCTAGAAGCATTTTTCAAAACAGACTAACTTCTAACAATTGCTTACTTAAATATATTTATCTTAGAACTCAAAACAAATCAAAAAATTAATAGAAATTAGAAATTGTTAGAATTTTTAGATTGTCTTGGAAAATCTGACAATTCCTGCTCCTTTTTGACTGATGTCACCACAACTTTAAGAAAATGAAATGTTTTTTGTGAAAACAATGCAATATTGCAATAATGCAATAATAACAATGCATAATTTTAAAATAACAACAAAAAAAGTTGGAGCACACGGCCAAAGTCAGATGGCAATCCATAATCAAGTCTAGCAAGGCTTTCGTTCAGCCCACAAGCTTCTGTCACAAAGAAGAAAACATTCTGTTAATTTTAAATATTAGAAAAGTTTTAAACCCTTTTGAAGAAGGCTGTTCTTGGCACTAGAGAAGCAACATTCCAGACCATGATAATTAGGTAGTTATCAGGAGGTAAATGCCAGGAGTTTCTTGAGTTGAGTTTATGTTTATTGGTTTGTATTTAAACCACAATTTAGTGACTGCGTTGTATACTAAGAAAAAATATATACATATATTTCTGGAAATTACTGGCAGCTTGTCTTTTAAATCCTTATGCACGCGTGTACATATGTCCACATACTGTACACAAGCTGCAGAGGACTGATAAAATTAATCTCACGCTACTCATCTGAATGCTCCTTAATCACCTGATTGCCAGAAGCTAGAAAGACACACTCAGAAAAAAACTGCACTTTAACTGTCCTTAGACTTCATAATCCCTTAAATACCTGATATTGAGAGACACTGTCCAAGACAGGAAACTATACAAGATGGACCCTTATTCTAACCCAGGCTGCCCACTCTCACATTCTTCAAGACTACAGTATTCCAGTAGTTCTACACTTTCTTATTAGCATTTTTATTATAAAAATGTTCTTACAAAATGTGCAATTGGTTCTAGGGACTAGACTGTGACAAAACAGACTCTTTACAAATCCTCTTCCATCTCTTCAGTGCAGAACTAAAACAACTATGGAAGGTAACTCAACGAATAAAGACTACTGAGACAGCTTTTGAAAAAAAATTTGGAGCAGGTTTTAGGGCTGCCATTACAACTTCACATGTTTTATAACGCTCCAGCTCAAGTTAGTTTATTTATGCACCCTTCTATTAACTTAAGGGACCAATTCAGTATGTATTAACAGATATTAGTTTGAACTATTAGAATGAATACTTACAAGAGTCTGTGCTGTAGCTTTAATTTTACAGAGGAATTTGAAGCACAGAATCTTGTTACTTTCAAACCATCTGAGCTCTAATTCAGCTCTTACAACACTACGAATGCTCCTCATCCAGCCTCAACACAGAATCCTGCTGGGAAAAGAAAAAGCAACAGGAACAGTAACAGACACAGAGAAGGAGGCAGAAAATTACATTATGAAAGGAAAGCAGGGCATAGAGAGCAGTTTGGAGAGACCTGACAAGCTGGGGTGGGGGCAGTGAGAATCAAAAGGACAGTAATAAATATATGAAGAAAGCAAGACAGAGATAAATGATAGAAAATCAGTTAGGAAAAAGGAGGAAGAAAAAAAAAACTCTCAAACTGGAATAGTGAAGTTGTATACTTCACTATTAACAAGCTCTAAACAGCTTAACAAGCACCAAATACAGAAAATATGGGTCATGTTCACTATATGAAAACTGAAAAACGCACCGTTGGCCATCAACTTAAGTCTTTTAAGTCTCTCAGTTACCTGTAACATTCCAAAAGCTTTTAAAACACCAAGCTACTGTGCTGTTACTGCCACACATAATAAAAACAGCTTACTTGTCAATTTAAAGTTTCTGCATATTAAAACATTAATATGACAACTTTTTAACTGCTCATCCATACAAAATTGAGGAAAATAAGATGTCTGAATTGCTAAGAGAAGAGGGAAGAAGAAATACTCCTCAAACAACATCCAAAACTTTGAATCTCACATTTTTATTGTCCTCTTTCATTAATGTAACTCTTCCCTTGATTATCTACAGCCAAAATCTAGAAAGAAATGCTCGAATTTTATGACACACAGTCAAATTAAATCCAAATTGCAGAAAGCTTTTTCTTCCTGCAGATGCTCTAACTGGTTTCTCTGGGTTTGCCTACGCGCACAGAACTGTGCTGCTTTGCGTTTCTGTAAACGCAACCTGCACCCGTATCGTCACGGCAGAACTGAACGTGTCAAAGCCCATCACGTTTGAGTTCCAAAAGCATCACAGGTGTTATGTAAATGGTTAAACCATTTTTATACCATGTTTTATGCTACTGAGGACATAAGAACTAGCATTAATTTTTAGTGGAAAAAAATGGAAACAACCTAAAGCAGAAACAACCACGTCCACGTAAACCTTAAGCAATGCTAAAAACACACTGTTAAGCAATAAAAGGTGCATTTATAATGGAAAAATAATACTAAATCTTAAGCTGTACAAATTAAGAAGGCTTCTTTTATCTTTTTTCCTATTGACATCTGAGATGCGTATGTTCAAAAAGCAGATTTAAAAATATACTTTGATAGAGAAAAACACAACTTCAGACAGATGAAGTCATTGATGATGTTTACATAATTTACATATGAAAACACAAAGTTGAAATTATTTTTTAGGATTTTTTTTCCCTATAAGCATAAAATCTGTTTAATTGAACAGAATATGTCCATCCTTACCTTGCAGTAACCCTGCAAGACAAGAATCACAGTACTTAGCCTTTGAAATATTAAATTAATTGTTTACACCTGGTTCTTTTAGCCCCTAAATTGTAAAAAGGGTTTTTTTCCATCTTTAATAACATAATACAATTAGTATTAATAACTGTAACAATACTGCAGGAATCTTGACAGAGGACTGAATCCCCGTTTAAAAAATAATGGGGTTACATTACAGAGCTATGGATTCAAAGTTCTCTGGCTATGAGAGTCAGTTACTTTGGATGCACAAAGTAGTAAAACAAAACACCACCACCAACAACAAAAAAAACAAAGCAAACCAATCGTTTATTTTTAAGAGAGCCTTTAAGTGGGATTTATGAATACATTAACTATCTTGCAAATCTTTTTATAGAACCAGTATCTTTCCATCCATGGAACTAATCCAAGGAAACAAATGACTAATCTTTCCAAAAGACCCAAAGCAGAGAAAGCTGGTAGTTTGTTACCCAGAAATTAAAAAAAAAGCATGCAAAATAAACATTTTCTAAGTTCTCAATAAAATAGCAATATAGCAGATTTAAATTTTATACAGAAAAAATTACTACCTTAGTCACAAGGCAGTGTGCAACTGTTCACACGGAGAGCTTGGAGGAAGGAAGGCAGGGAGAGGTAAGAATACCAAGAGAAGCAGTAGACTATTTAGGGTAGCAATCTGAAGGTTAGATTCACAGATACTTTACTTGCAGGAGAAAAATAACACACATTTGTTTTCAGTGAAAAAGAGACTGAATTTGCTAACACAGACAGACCGAAGGCTGAAGAACAGCATTTGCAGACTGAACTTCTTGATTCTGAAAAGTTGGAAGGTGATCGTAATTTTAGCAGGGTTAATGGTGCTTTCACCAGCACTAACGAAACCACAGAGTAAAATTACAAAGAGAGTTGTCTGTACTTGAGGGAAACACTTCTACTATCCAAGCAGCAGCCTAGAGGGACAGAAAGAAAAGGGTAATTGAAAAGATGCCCTCGTCACCCTTGCATGCTCTCTTGTAGGGCCAGTCTTCCTCACCACTTGTTAGAAATGCTTGATATGATTAATGTACCCATAAACTTAAAGGTGTAATTTTATTATGAAATACCAAAACATCTCTGGAAAACACATAAGGAAGATTCACTCCCCTCCATTAAATGCATAATAAATCAAACAGCTCTGGGGAATGATAATCTGAAAAGCTACAGCACTCACAATAGCAATTTAGAGGTGAGAAATACTAATTTAGCAGGATCACTGTAATTTATATGTGGTTTATACTGGATCTTACAGAGGAAGAGTGTGTGGCTGTTTATCACAAATCAGATAAAATCACCACTGTCCCATGGCTAAACTCCACATGATTTGCAGTAAAGGAAATCTTAGCTATATAAGCTTTCAATCTGACCTGCTATGCTAAAAAACTTTTTAAATTAGTGGATGAGATTTCAATTTCAGCAAGAAACAAGAAAACCAAAACCCACCTTTTCTGACATGGTATCATACATAGGCCTTTTTTTGTTAATAAAATAAAATAAGTTGTCCCCAAGAGCTACAGCATATCTTAAGCTTTGCATTTTCATATTTTCAACTTCTGAAAAGGAAGGAAAGGAAGGAAAGGAAGGAAAGGAAGGAAAGGAAGGAAAGGAAGGAAAGGAAGGAAAGGAAGGAAAGGAAGGAAAGGAAGGAAAGGAAGGAAAGGAAGGAAAGGAAGGAAAGGAAGGAAAGGAAGGAAAGGAAGGAAAGGAAGGAAAGGAAGGAAAGGAAGGAAAGGAAGGAAAGGAAGGAAAGGAAGGAAAGGCTGCCCAACAACTGTTCTACATAATCTACCCTCCCATCATGATTATTCAGCTTTTGGGAGAACAAACACTCTACTCAAGACCAGCAAGGCACAAAGACACAAGCAAGGCTTAAAATACAATGAGACACCTTCTGTATACTTCAACAGCTTGGGCTTCACTTTAATACTTTAGAGTCTCATGTTATGAAATTCTGTCCTCTAACCGGCCAAGAAAGTGGTCTTATCAACTTCTGCCAAAGGTACTAGGCCTTTACTGACAGACAGTCATGATGCTAAATCCCTACAAAATACAGTAACAATATCAGTGAAGAGCTGGTACCTCCATTCACTGAAATGAGAAAAGACCTCCTAACTTCCCCACAAGCCAGCTACAAAACAACTATGTTTTCAGCTTTAGTCACAAACACATGGTAAAAGGATCTCAGCATATCATCCAGTAATTTGTCCCACATCTTTTCCAGCTTGTGGAAGAATCAGGAATAGTTATCTCCACTTTTGCCCATAGCTGTTTACAGAAGGTGCTGCCCAAATGACCACTACTCCCCAAACTACTCAGTCTAAGCCGATCAAGACAAGTCCATGCAGCAATTAGGAAGGAAGCTCACAGAGTAGACAAAGATCAAGAACGTCAGCTAACTGAAAAAGCCATTTAGATCCAGTACAAAACTGGTTTAGGCAGCAACATAAACATGAAAGTGCTTTCCTGGCACTGATAAATCTCCTGCTATCAGGGACAGGCACAGTATGCACTCTCATGTTCTCTGCTATCTGTCACGCATCAGCAATGCTGACCACGAGATGTTACCACCTTCCCTGACCAAAGTACAGGGAGTCTCACTTGCGAAATAGCTCACGTGCTTGCTGGGCAGATGCATCTAGCAAGTCGTGACTGGAAAATAAACTTCAGCTCACATAAAAATCTATGTCGTTCTGCTCGGCATTAAAATAAATGAGTGCTTGCACTACGTACAGGACATGCAACCATTAGCAGCTCAGATCAAACTTCGACCACTACTATAAAACAAGCTTAGTATTAATAAAAATCTTGGTTCATGGTTAGTGATGTTTAAGATAAGCCCTAAAGCTGAGCAAGATAGATGCAGCGTTGATGAGCAGGAACATTGAATGAAGTTTGTAAACGGCACCCAGCACAAACTGATGTCAATCCAGCAGTGAAAAGAGGGTAAAACCAGATCCATGCCTGAAAAACCTTGCTCTTAAGAGCAAGAAATGTACTCATGAATAGAAAGAAACTTTCACATTTAAAGACGTTCTATGCCATCATCCAATGGAAGGCATGAGAAGTCGACATACTTCTTTCGCACACAGGGTTGTGAATACTCTTCACTCGGCTCAAACCAGGCTTGCACAGCAGGATTAGTGAGCCTTTGCTCCTCCATTTTAGCCAAATCACCTTGTTCTGTTATGCCTTTATCTCTTCAGCCAGCTCACAGCAGCAGAATATGCTACAGCATGAAATCTTCACCACTTTGTAAATGTAAATGTAGGCAGAACAGAGTATATTTAGGTTACTGATGGTCCAGCAAGGAGGCTAAATCTATCCTTTGCTGTTTAAACTGGCCCCTTGAATTAATTTTCATGAGCATTTTGCTCCAATTCTTAAACTGTTCCACGCACTAGACTTGAGTTATGCAAAATGCTGTTTGAAGGTCTAAAATAAGGTCACGGTGGATACATTTCTGCTTTTGGAAAAATGGACTCTTCTTCAGGGGTCAACTCAAGACTCCCAACAAAATTAAAGATACAAGAAACACCACCATCTACCACTTCATTAGGACATAACATTTCTTAGTTCTTGCCCTGGTTAACATGAATAGGTAACAACAAACGTACTTAAAAAGCAGTAAAATCTTACCAAAAGTACGTCTCAATCTGTAAACCTTTTACTCTAAGGAAGAAAGAAGAGAATAGCCAACAGACAGCCATCCTGTAACCATACTTTTTAACGCACCGTAGGATAAACTCATATTAAAATCCTAAACGATAAGAATTAAGAGAGAGAAAGAACTAGATAAACCAGAAAGTAGCAAAATATCTTTTTGTATGGCACAGTCTTGTAGCTCTAGGGATATAAAGCGAGGCAAGCATTGTGGGAAGAGCTCTTATTTTCTTTTTCGGTACAACCGATGTTGGGATAGAGATAAGTTTTCAGACGCACAATCTGAGGGGAAAAACAAAACACCAGCCTCTTACAAAAATCTATCATATCCTCTTATATGACTGCGTTATTACCCATAGAAAATATAAATTGTATTAGATCACTAAGAAGCCTTTTGGACAAATCAAATAAATGACCTACTGCATAAACATTCAAGACAGACAAGCAAAACATAATTTCAAACTGATAATCGGTATTCCCAACTAAAAGGAGAAAAAAAAAAAACACATCATGGCTATACCATCTTAGAATAAAATGACAATTCTTAGCAAGACCTATAAAAAACAAGCAACAGCAAGAGCATTCTCTGATCTTCTACATGGATTTCAAATTGCACGTTTTCATTTACTTAAAAAAATGTGATTTGATAGATTACAAAAAAGCAACTGCGGAAACTGAGCATAAAATAAACTACTTTGTTTCCCTCAGTATGCAGGCTGCCTGAAACAGTAAACCTCAAAATTCACTTTAATAGCAAGCTCAAAGCTTGCATAAGTTTGTTTAAATATGAATGATGATGATCCCTTTTAGGAGATCCCCTGATGATCACTTTTAGGAGAAATACGGAGCTAGTGTGCCAAAAAGCCCCCAAATCTCTCCATGTAACTATCAAAATATCCAGCTGTATCCTACGAATTAATACAAAAATTTTAAATGTATAGGTTTACCAAAGGATGCACAGCAGTTGATAGCATGAAACCAAAATCTGTATTACTGCTATACTGGGAGGAGATAAAAGATTTTGAGGGGAAGAATTGATTTGGTTATGGAATTCTTTTGATTTCTCTATGCTGATTAAGACTAAAATAATATTGTTTGGTGGTTTAAAGAGAAGTATAAGAATATGGCATACAACAAGAACAACAGAATACTAAAGCTCCCTCAAATCATGTTGTACCAAGTCCAAACTTAAGTCTGTTGGTAAAAATACAACACATCCTGTATTAGGAAGTGGTCAAAAGTTTCTAGAACGCTTTTAGATGCGGATGTAGTCAAACGTGATCAAAATCATTCACAATAATCTATAGTATTTTTTTTTCTTTAACCAACTTTTTAAAACTTCCAGTCAAACAAGAAAAACTATTAAGTATAGTAGAGCACATTTTCATCTCTAAAACAAAAATCAGCATAATTATTTCTGCTCATTAATATAAGTAATTTTGAGAAACTGGACTACTGTTTTTTTTTGAATCTTTCAGATTGTTGAAACAGTCTTGAGTCCAATTCAAATGTTTCCAAATAATTATATTATCTATCCTGTGTTTTGCTCAAAGGAAAACAAAACAACACACCCCCATGTGTTATTAATTCCTAGTACTAGAAAGTCCTAGTAGTAACAGAGTAACCCTCAAGCTAGGGCAATAATTTGTACAACACTCCTATTGCTAATCCTGAATTATTAAAGTTTTGAAAGCAACAGGTGACTTCCCCAATAGGGCAGAGTACTTAGGCTAAACAAGTCACAACTTTAATTGGGAAAAAATTACAGGTAGTTCATATAAAGTCTGAATTACTTCTGATCGATATTAGGAGGAGCCTTTCTCCACTGTAACACGACCAAGTAACGAGGTTGTGAGGGTTATGAGGCCTGACATGTAAGCAGTGCAACAAAAGGGGCAGTAAGGAGAGAGAAATCTCAAAGTATTATCTCTACATTATCAAAAAGGGATGGCACTGAAGTATTACTGAATTTTAAATTGTAATTTTAAAAAATTGTAAGATTTACCTGTTGAACAAGGCATCTGGAAATTGGGATCATTGCTATCCAAAACAGGCAAACAGAACTGGGCACTTGCAGATCCTAGCATAGGATCCTTATCGCTGAGCATGTTCTTCAGCGAATCCTCTAAGACATTTTGACTTGTACTAAAATCCTCACAGCCTTCATTCTCCAGGTTGGATCCTAGAAATAGGGCATCATCTAAGTGTTCAGTAGGAATTAAATGGTTAAATGTATCAACTATATCCATGAAGACTCCTGTGTGTCTTTCAGCCCTATAGAAAGACAAGAAAAATACCATAAGAAAATAAGCTACAAATTGTAAAACACCTAAGAAAGCAGCAAACTGTTTTGGCTGTTGTGCTTTATAAAGAATGTGTAAGAATGTGTAAACTATTTTAGAATTGTAACAAAAAATTCTGCTTATGGGTTAGACTGTCTCACTGCAGATCTAAAACAAATTTATTTCTAATTCATTAAAAGGACTCATATGAAGGTTATTAATAAAAGTTCTTCAGAGCGCTGCCACTTCTGCAGACTGAATATAACGAGGGTTAATGGAAACACTTCCTTTCTACAATTTGTTTAGACCTTAACCAAGTAGAGGAGGGAAAGGAAAGGGAGGGAAAATGCATAGGGGATCGAGAATAACTAAACTTAGAAAGCAGTGAGTGAACATCTTTCCTTGCCTTTAAATATGAAAATCCTGCACTAACCGCAATAGACCTAAGAAAGCTCAGGAGCGAGGCCCATGATTACTAGGGACTATATTCCCATTCCATTCATTTATAGCAGGCGATTATTTTTAAGCAGAAAAGTCTTAATTCATATTTCAGCTATTAATATATTCAGTAAACCTACATAAATTTTATATGAAAACTTGACCTCATCAAGTAATGGGAATTCTGTCAGTTGATTTCATGGGGGGCAGAATTTCACCATCCTGTTATTAACCCTAATTTTAAGGAAGTTTAAGTAATATTTAATACCTAACTTTAACAAAAGATCACAAATAAATTTTACCACAAGGCGCTCCCTAATTCTAAAAAGATTTTTTGTGATATAGCAGAAATGCAACTAATCCAGCAAAGATTCAGCTAATAAGAAAGTATAACCCCTGTGCAATAGAATGAAAAAACAGCAAGCAAAACACTTTTTCAAAACTTTAGCTTAACCATATACTTGAAGCACTGACAGATAATTGTAATAAATAGTCAAACAGTGGCTAGGGAAACTGAATAGAGCCTGGCATTATTTGGCTTGCAAGAAAGACTGAAAGACCAGTTTTGGCACAAAAAAAAGTTGTTCAGGCTTTTGGAAATAGAAAAGGACATATATCCTCCTCCCTCCTTCCTTCCCCATCTTTCCCCTGTCATAGTAGGTAGGAATTTATTAAAGACAAAGAGAAGTGGGATTTAAAGATTTTAATACTTGAATTACTTTCTACAGCCCTATTCCAATAAATCATTCCTAAAAAAACAAAATCTACCTATATTTACTAGAATAACAAATTTGCTTCCTTATACATGTTAACTAGATATTTCCATTTTACTGATCAACAGAGAAAATCTTTGGCAAACAGCTATTTAAGAATGTTGCTACAAATACAACCATATTATTACAATTTACGGCTATTTTTATTTCACAAATTTACAAGCATTAGAGATGAGCACGAAAAACACATTTCTCACTAGAAAATGAAACTTTTTCTGTAGGGAAGAAAAAATAGGACATACAAGACAGGTAAGCCGCTAAGCCTCTGCAGAGCCGAGTGTCTTTACAATAGCCACAACAAAAGAGCAGCATAGGATGTCTCACCGACCAGACACCTGGCAAGAAGGAAGAGCAATTCAGGCGCATTTATGTAGGGAGGTAACAGCCTTGCAGCAACAAACATGTTAGAATTTGACAGCTCCCTACATCAAAAATTGCACTATTTCTATTAAGTGATGCACTGCAGTTACATATATACAATGCCAACTAGCACCTACACCAGTCCATACCGTTTTTTTTTTCCAAATCACAGAATAAATTCCAAACTATACAACGAATAAAGTAGCAAGGCAGAACAAGGCCAGCACTATACTGCACCGCATCACATAACCTGTTCTACTAACCTTATGCCATGTAGTTACAACAACTAGATATTATACAGGATAAGCTACAAGAGCTATGGTGGCTCAAAAAAAGAAACTAATTCCAAATGCCACAAGCTGGTACTTTAAAACACCTTCCTATAAGGAGAATTCTTTGCACACTGTACAAGCACAATAGTAAAAGGCACAGGTTAAAACAGTGCAAGCTTCACCACAAACCACTGCCAATGACACTGCAGATAAAACATCCGTGAACGACTGCAAGCAATTTTTTGTACATCTACACCAAACAGCTCTGAACACATTTACAACAAGGCACATCTCAATGGTTTTGTTCATTTTTTTCCCTGCCTAGGATAGAAACATTTACACAATTCTTATTCAAACAGTTCTGCTAACAAAGCAGTCCTAATATTAAGAGCAGTTTTTAGTAACAACATTTGGGCAAATGAGAGTCCTTACTACCAGAACAGTTGAGAACATTAATACAGCAGTAGGATGAAAATAAAAGAATATCTGCAGTTTTGCAAGATCACTAATGCAGAAAACTAAAAACATTTCAAAATAAACTGCCACAGCAACTGTTCATGCGAAAGATACCTTCAACATCACCTAGATAACTACCAGAGAGAATTCAAGGGAAAAATTACAAAAAAAAAATTACTTCCGCAGCACAACTCTACGGTCAAACACATTTTCAATCTCCAAATTTTGCATCAAAAGGTCACTATAAGCATATAAGTTTTTGCATGTAAAATCCTACAGCCATAAAATTTTAAAAGAATGTATGTTCTACAAGCGTAGTTGTCAAAATAGGTAGAGAGATCCACTGGGAAAGCACACAGAACAACAACTTTGCTGTACCTGGTTCAAGAAGCTGAAGTTCAACATGTAGCATAACTTGTACAACACCATGTTTAGAAAAGCATTTTCATTACTGCATTAAGTGTTGCATGAAAACTAGACTCCACAAGGTCTGGCAATATAAGATAAACGTATTTGTTCCTGGAAAGCTGGTATTTAGAAACAGTTGCTGCCTTTAAAAAGGTTTACTCAAACAGTGCCTAAAAAGAAAAAGGGTTTTGAAGGGTTTATTTTGCATTTGAAATTCCAAATAAATTGGAAAAATATGCTAAGATACAGGTTAGTATTAGGTTTTGTACAGTCTCGTATCTAAAGTAGTTCTAAAAGTTCCCCAATAGAATTCAGAAATCTATAATTTCTCTAGGAAACAGCTTTGAGCTCCATTTGAACCCCCTAATGCTTGGCAACACTGAGTTAAGCCAAAATTGCACATTCCAAGCATGCTTCCTTGGTGCAAAAGATCAAAAGTGTCTTCCCACTTGATATTAAATGGTAACAGCAGCCTCCGAGAAGTCTCACTAGGTAACACATACGCAGTGAGAAGAGCAGGATTGTTCATGAATGAGGCACGAGAGCAAATAAAAGATCAGTAAGCCCCAGGCATTAAGATTTCACTCAGATTGAGCCCACAGTGATATCCAATGATTCCTGGTGCACCAGTGAGTGCCCTACTCTATTACAGCACACAACTCTCCAAGATGCACCAATAAAAGAGATAGGGTGCCAAGACAGTGGAAAATCATAAAAAGCTAAAGCTGTGGAATGTGGAACTTCTTTTTAATTCCATAAATAAAGTATATTTCTCCTATAATATGAGGTCAATTTGCTTGAATCACCTTCCTGCCAAATAATAGGCACTTGTGGAAGTGACCCATCAGTTAAAATGTCTGTTATTAAATTAGCCATCATTAAAAGCTAGCCTGTTAAAGAGAAAAAGCATATCACTTAAGTTTGACTCACAGAATTTCTTCCACTCATAATATGGGGGAGGGTATTTAAAAAAAAAAAAAACATTTAATCTCTTCATACTTTCTTATTCAGCTGGAGTCTTACAGCTTGTAAAATTATTTTTTTCAGTTTCTGAATTAGCTTAATTAAGTTTGATGTGTCAAAATACTGCTTCAAATCTCCCAAAATAATTATGTATGTATAAATCATATGCTCTGGTATTTGATATGGTAGATTTTTAATGTTGCCATTTGTTTACTACTTTTTCATTATATTACTTGCAGCTCATCTTGGCTTTCCAAAATTAAAAGAAACAGAATGGTAACTTGCTAAGGAAAGAAACTCAGATATAAATCAAGTATGTCCTTTTAAACTAGTTTAACAGAGGAGGGGAGACTAATACCAAAACAAAAGATGCTGCACACTAACTGATGTTCCACACTAACTGTCGCACTACTCAGTTCATCCATGAAAAGGCACAAAAATTACCTATTTTTTTTTCCTCTAAATCAGAACAGAGTAAAATGGCTCAGCAGATACACAACTGCAACAGCTTGACCTCACCACCTTATTGCAAAGCCACCTCTGGCAGAGGAAGGTATGAAGTGTACCTGGCACTAGAAATCCTGACTGCTTCTTACCTGAGGCACTGGCAAAACTTTTGGACTAGGCACAAAGGATGTACAAGTTCTTGTTTTTCATTTATGTATTTGGATTTTTTACTAAGATTTTTTTTTCTTATTCCTTTTTCCTTAAAGTATGTTTTTATTTAGTTTTAGTGGTACTTCTATACAATCGATTTTAATAGGTAAAAGTGCTCACCACAATTACCTTCTCCCCTTTCACTGCCCAGTGTGGGCCGGCCATCAACATATTGGCTTTTATTTTAAACACTGACAACTCACCTAACAATATACATTCCTCCAAAGTGCTGACCATTCTATATTTTCAAAATAATTATGCTTAATTAAAAAGATGATGTTATAGTAAAGAACTCTGAAAATAAACATAAGAAAAAATGTAATGCTTCTAGAGAGCAACTTAACAAAAAAAAAACAGCAAAAAAAAAGGATTGGGAATAACAGGAGGGAAAAAAATGCCTATCCAAAGAGGGGAAAGAGATCTCAAAATTTAAGATGCTCAAAATCCTAGGCCTGCCAGAATCCTAGATGCTGAAAATCCTATCTATATTATTGATCTACCTGAATGTGTAAGACTTGTAAGGCTGCTAAAGCGACAGCATAGCGGCATTGCAAATCCTTCCATTTAATTTATATAGCTTTGTGAGTATTTTCTATTGCTTTTTCATACTATATTCTATTTACTTGAACTCTTTGAAGTATTAACTGACTGAAACGGTGGTAGAAACATTAGAGCAGTCAA